GATAGCACTTCCTACAGCATGCCTGAATAAATAGCCTTGTGCAGGACATTTCTGCATTCGGCCTTGCTGTCACCCTGGATAAGCTTCGGGACATGGATGGTCAATGAGTCATGAGCCGCGGGCCATATCTAATTACCTTTTTTTACAATTACGATTTCCATTATGACTAATATTCTTACTATTATTGTTATCTGCCCCGGGGGGCCTGGTGCCCTCAGACAAGCAAGTGCTCAGATATAGTCACTACATTTACTGCATTCACAGCGGAGTCCTGCGCTTGTCCCCCGTGTATGGCAGTAGAGACAGCACCGACACCACCTTCAGGCAAGCAACTTCTCTTGTCCGCTAATTACCGTTGCGCACTGGCAAGCCGTGATTTTGAAATTTTTGTTTAAGGTCGTCCGCAAAATCAAGCTCATCACTGATGCAGTAGCTGTTGAGTGAGTCAATGTCATCCACTGTCCGTGCACATGACCATTTCCTTTTCTGCAATCTTGTTATTCCTCTTGCTTTGCGCGCGTCGGATTGGCACATTGATGCCCGTGTTTCTAGCATCAGGTTGGCTGGCTTCCCCAGCAGCTACATCCGTAATCGCCATCCAGTCTATGGATGCTAGGGTTTAGGGTTTAGGGTACTTGTTCTGGCCAGGTTTTGCAATTGTCGTTCTGGAGAGGTGAGGGAGCATCGCTACAAGCTCGTTACCAACGCTTGGGTGCTTGCCCTTTGCTGATCAAGGTTAATTTTCGATGTGGCCTCTCTCGATAATGGACTTCTTTGGGATCAGGTTATGTTTGAAGGAAGCAAGGTTAGTCCTTGGTACGGTAGGAACTTGTCTCAGATTGCATTTTCTGCTAGATTGCCGGAGAATTGCATTAGGCAAGTGCTAGGGGGAACTTTCTGCTTGATAGCTTTCTGCCAGTCCTATTCGAAACGGGTATCTAGTGAACATGCGTTTCCGCTCCAAACCAAGTTGCTGCAAGACTCAGTTGCCCCTGACACATGTTGTCATAAGGTTTCCTGCTGAACACATGCTGCTTGTGCACGCGATGCAAACATTGGAGAACCTTATTAAATTACCCCAGGAAGAAAATGAAACCCTTGATGAGGAACCTTCTGCCCTAAGAAGGTCAGAGATTGCGGAGGTTAACTGCATTACCTCATATCCGGTGCAGGCGTTAGCTGGTGTTGTCGTTTGGGTTTTCAGAAGGCCTGAGCGTGATATGAGGGTTGCTTCAAAAGACGGCCATTTGTTTGAAGAAGTCTGATAAATGTGCCAGCACATTCAGGGGAGCGGTGCTATCATCGTGGCTGTGACGTCCAAGACGCGGATCTCCCCACCCCCCTCTCCCTAGTACTACTGAGGCTTAAGGATCCGCACTTTACAATGGCAAATGAAATGGCAAGATTCCCTGACTCATTGACAACAAACCTACACTGGGTCGCAACTACGTAACCCCAATTACACAATGATGTCCCCCACGCTTCCATGTATGAAGTTGGACTCTGGATTGACTACAGACAGGTAGGAGACATACCTGTAAGAATTTGTCAGTATATGGTACCTTATCATAGGTAAAGAACCCAACAGCCTGGTTCCAGGATCTGTTCCCCAACACTTGTTGGAAGATCTAATAATTACATCCCTTCCTAGCAGCATCATAACTAACCCCTTAGTCCCCGTATGTCCCCGTACAGTGCCCAATGTTGTTCTACATGGTCTGATTTTTAGATGAGCCGTAGTCTAAACTCCTAGTATCCCCCTTAATATCCCCTATGGTACTTCCCTATATAATCCCTTTTAGGGAGTTTAGACTATAGCTCGAATGTCTTCAGGGGTCTGGGCTTCGCTTTCGCGAGCAAGGCCTCCTGCAGGCTTGGGGGTCGTTTCCGGCTTTCGATGGCGTTCAGCTGGCTCCTCACTCGCACTTCTGATGGAGCAACGCTTGCACAACTTTTGTGGTCAAAAGCTTAGGAATGAGAAGTGCAGGTAAGGAGGCCTGCAAAATGTTGAAGGGTTCATAACCATGTAGTCACCTGCTGCAGATGCTCCAGGATGGCCGTAAACTTTTGGCTTGGGAGTACCAGGACCCTCCCAGTAAACTAAAATAAGGGCAGATGGTCCCTAATACTGGGCATTTAGGATATAAGGTAGAATGAGGGTCTAGGTACTGGGTTTCTTTGCTTAGTAGAGACAACTTGGGCGGCCCTGGCACCCTGAACTGTAAGTAGCTGCCGCACCGACACGAGCCTCGACCTCTTTCCTTGGTGGCGTATGTGCTTTTCATTTGGCTGTTGAGCTGGATGCTCGAAAAGAAAAGGATCCCTATCTAACCCCAACATTACCATAGTAGTTTCCATTTTCTTTTCCATTATCCCTAAACAACTCAATATCACGATAGTAGTTTCCATTTCTTCCATTATGTAGACTGACCTGTCCAAAGCCCACGGATCCTGGCAGCTTCTTGGGTGAACGTTGCCAACTCCTTAGCCCACAAGACATCAGGGACTTCAGGTGAGGATTTAAGGTTTAGGTTTTCTTGCTGATGCAATATTTGGTGCAGGTGGGAAGGTTCGCGGAGGTTCTTCGCACTATAATCAGCCTATGGTGAAGCTTTGGTTTGCATTAGTAGACCTCTGTGTCTATGGTGTTGCACTTTGGCCTCAGACCATGTTACCTGTGGGCATAGACTTGGTCAGGACACAGCTAACTGTACGTCGTTCCAACTTTGCATGGTCCATTTCTTCTCGCCGACGTTCGACAGACAACTGCGGAAGCTCCCGTAGGCCGGCTTTCACATCGACGGTGTGCTTTGAAAGGGGCGGTTCTGAAGGTTTAAGAGGATAGTGAACGCACATGTAGAGAACGTATGAGGGGTTCTCATGAGTCGCTACAAGGCAGCAATGGGATTCCGTCCTTCCTTGTTTCCTTCACCACAATGCCCCTTTCAACACAATGCTCCAAACTCCAACCCCTACATCCTGACCTTCACCGATTCACAGCCGGGTTCTTAGCACCCGAGAATTCAGAGGTATTTAGGGTTTTCCAGACATGGGGTGTCCTTGGCAATGCTAGACGTGAAGAGAAATCAGTTCTGGGAGGCCCGTGAGACACTCCAACTAAACCCCAAGCATATGAGTAATTTGGACGTAACCCACAGGATTTGACTGTCTACGCTGCCAGAAGCAATATTTGCAAGCGTGCAAGACTTCCACCTTTCTAGAGTCATTTGTGGATTGCGTACAATGCGCAAAATTGAGACCTCAAACCTTCATGTGTCAATTTCTCTGCATGGCCTCTAGCACATGTAAAACAGAGACCACTGGAATGTGCGTATACAGCTACCAAATTACTAGGGTCTTTGGCATCCCGGGTCTAGGCTTATAGGCCTGAGGTTTGGAGGTAGGTCCGTGTGGATGGGCTTTCCAAAATCGATGGTCCCTTTGGCGTTCTATTTTGCGATGACATCCCAAATATCCGTACTCCCACAACATGCGCACCATGACCCGCATACATGATACAAAAGATTTCAGCTCTTGGGGTTCAGTAGAAAAGAACCCCCTCCCTCTCAGGCATAACACTAACCTCAACGAGCGACATCTTGAGGTAGCTGTGCATCCAGCGATCTTGATGGGCTCTCTGGAACCAGTGCCTGCAACCAAACTGTAGCATCGGGTCATGTGGAGCTGTGTAGAGACAAGTTCCAGGGGCATCAGGGCATCTGCGCAACCTCTGCGGGCAAAGCACTCTTTTATCACCTGGCTGGTCAGTAGCTCTTGAAAGTCGCAGACGAGCCCCATGTGTGACGCTATAGCCTGTGCATATACATGTATATATATATATATACACCTGCACGCGTCGTGCCTTGCAGGTCGGCCTAGGGGCCTAGACTACCACAAGGTCGTGGAATTCAAGCTCAATTTCCTCTCCAGTGTACGTCACCTTCTTGTCGCAAACAGCTTCCCTCACTCCCACTCCATGGCCCGGGGAAACAACAACAGCGCAAATGCGCCTCTCTTGGGGCATGCCCGGAAAGTTGCCCTTCCTGCTCAGAATCTTAAGTTGCTGGCTCTTGTCCTGCCACACAACGTCAATTGTCGAGTAGATACCGCTGCGGTACGTGGTGGATGATCCATCATCCTCGAACAAGGCAAAGGATGCATCCATCCCGGGGTATACGCGGATTTCCAGATCAGGGCTTCTGTCCGCCGAGGACTGAACACTTTGCCCCAGTACTAGGATGGATCCTCGCTGCGCCTAGGCAGATTTGCAATCACTTCGAAAAAAGTTCTTCTTGCTACATGTACGAAAGGTATCGGGCCTATGCAGATGGCAAAGCCCACTATGACTTTTATCCCAGGAGCAAAGAAGGGGGCACGATCCAGGGGGAAGCTGACGTTTTGCTGTCCGCTGTGCACCTGGCGTGAGTCAGAGAATAAAAAGCCACAGGGGGATGATGGATCTTAGCATAACTAATTACTGTTATGATTGCCACTTCTCTTCGCCATGTCCTCCTCCTCCTTTTTCTGCTCCTTCATCTTCTTCCTCCTCCTACCACGACCACGACTACTGCTATCACTACTGCTGCTACTGCTACTGCTGCTGTTGCTGCTACTGCTCTTGCTACTGCTATTGCTACTGCTATTGCTACTGCTATTGCTACTGCAATTGCTACCGCTGCTACTGCTGGTGCTACTGCTACTGCTACTACTACTGCAACTACAACTACAGCTACAACTACTGCTACAACTACTGCTAATGTAGGACTACTTCTACACCACAAACCCCGCCATCCCGACCTCAACCGCCACTGCCACATACATATCCACAGCTATAATCTAGGTGTGCAGGTCTTAGTTTCGTCGTGCTTCTGTTGCTTTAAAACCTAGACCCTAGGCGTAAAAGTCCAAGTGGTTGAAAAAATACTAGGCCCTACACCTCGCTGTTTAGAGTTGAGGGTATACGGGTCTACTGAGCTCTGCTAGGCGCAGAGCGGCCGCCAATGCCGGCTTGGCTTGTTGTGTTCTTCAGCAACATGTTCTTCGGATGCGCAGGTGCCAGTCGGACACTGCACAGGAGGCTATAGCTATAGGGACAGACAGGGTCTGGCGCTTAGGGTTTAGGGTTGATTTTGCCCCAAATTATCTTAAATTAGTAGACTGCAGCTGTTGAACCTCATGATGCAGGTCGCTGTTGAAGGAACACTAGTTATCTACATTTTGTTTTGTTAAGGAGTTGTTTCCTTGACCGCAAGCTTGTGAGGACCTGTGAGTTGAATAGGGGTGACATGCCACTTCAAATGGGCACGTGCCAAAACGATTGGC